GTCAGCTGAGCAAAATGGTTTAGCTCTGCACTCCTTTAACCTCTCAGGTAATTGGGTGGAACATCTAGAGGAAAAAACCGTGCATCAGTTGGTGAGAACAGAAACAGTTATTTGTGCATTTATGATACTGCTCTTCTTACTGGCCTTGCTTATGTCTATGGTAACAGTCACATCATCTTCAGTGGAGCCATAAGCTCAGCACTGTTTGGAACAGAATAAAAAGTCCCAATTAGCATCAGATCCTATCTTTTGCACCAGCTGCTAGCAGGTGCCTAGGGGAAGAACATAAGGATGGTTCATGTTTCTCTGTGCACATGCAATTACTGAATGGAGTGGTCATTCTCATTCACCTTCGCAACCACCCGTAGAGGTGTGTGCTCTGATCCTTCCTCCTGCTAGCATAAGCATTCACATAGCTATGTGATAGGACAATTTAGGACAGAAAGCTGAAAACTATCTAAGATAAAAAAAAAATAATAATAATTTTAACTTTTTGTGAAGTTGCACCCTAAGAAACAGAGATTGTCCCCTCAACGATTCTTCCCAGCTTCTTCTATCAATGGTTAGAGTTACTTTCCAGCAGAGAGATCTTATGATTATCTTGGGCTTAGTAGGAGTTTATTTCGACTCATTGTGTGGTTCTTTGCTTCTAATTAATTCAAAGCTGTGACTGATTCATTGTCCTGTATCAGTAAGTTTCACAGTCTAACTACACACAGAGGCCACTGTTTACTGTTAAGGGCTGGGAGACATTAAGGAAAGCAGCGCATAGTATAGCACATGCATGAAGATGTATCACTATGGATACAGCAACAGGAGCTAAGTCTTGTTTGGGGTTCATTTGAAAGGATATATCCAATCACCTTACTGTTAACAAGGGTGTAGAGCCTAGGTGTCAGAGAAGACTGTGCATAGAACCCAGGTAGCCAGTGGCACAAAGTGGCAACTTAGCTGTCTTCTCGAGTTGTTCAACGATTAAAAACAAAAAGAGTAAATCAAAGAATGAAAAAGAGCTGTTGATCCCAATTCTTGGCTGTCTGAAGAACCAGCATTGTAAGCAAGGACAGAGGAAAACTGGAAGTGCAGAGGCCAGAAAGGAATTGAGTAAAATGGCCAGGCGAAAACATATCAGCTTTTCTGGGCTGTTCATTATGAGAAAAAAAAGAAAAAAAAAAAGGTGGAGGCCAACAGCACTGACAGGACTATTTCCATCTTTCAACATGACCTCTCAATCAGACTGGTATCCATTGGAGGACTACCACTGTCCCAATAACAAAAACATCTAGAGATGGGGGGGTCAGGCAACACCCGTTTTCCCACTGCTGCTGGGGCAGTTCTTAAACAGCACTTTCAATGCAGAGCTTAAATTCTCTCCTGGACCCTATTTGGTGATTTCTTTTCTTCCAGTCTCCTTCATTCCTGTTCCTATTTCTCACCTTTTGGATACTGTTTAATAAACTGCTAGTCTTTTGAAGGTTCCATCATTCGCAAGAGGCCTGGGGAGAGAGCTAAAGGCTGTAATCCGGGTACGAGTTTGCTGAGTCTCCCAGCGGCTTACAAATCTGTTTTCCTTCAGCAGCAAAGTTGTTAAGAGGAGTTGGCACCAGAGACAGAAGCATTGTCTAGCTTTGCTATTTTTCTCTATCCCCTTCAAGCCTTTAGCAACAACTGCAGTTTCCCACCTATTTCAGCTAACTTCTCTTTTTCCCCTAAAGAAAGGATAGTCATTAGCATTTTCTGCACTGTCAACTAGGGGTTTCCTTATAAAAATTCTTCACAGCTAACAGGAAAGTGAAGAAAAGATATTGTTAACATGAAAGACTCACTTAATACTTTACATTTCAAATACTGTAACTGCTTTTTTTTTTCCCCTCCCTCTCCTTTTTCTAGATCTTCAGTATACAGTTTAAACACCATTAATGCTGTTCGTTGCTATGGTGTTGGGCAGACTGAGGTCTCTGCACTTGAAATCTTGAACTACACTTAATGTTGTACAACAGCAGGGTCATGCTAACACCTTTGACTTCAATCCTGTTTTTTCCAGTAAAATGGAAAAAAAAATCTCTATCCTTCTAGTTCTTGGGACAGGTTTTTACTGCAATGGGGAGTGAAAAAAAATCAATAGCTGCAAAGAGACTTCTGCAAAATCTTTAGCTGTTACATCAGAAAATCATGAAGAAGAAAAATAATGATAGTCCCTGAAAAGTTTCATTAGAGGCTGTTTCTCATTTTCTCAAGCAGCTAAACAGCTAAACATTTTAATAAACTAGGAAAATGAGACTGTAAAACCACAACATCTGACAGGAAATCCCAAGAGCAGGAATCTTTCCTGAAACTAATTTTAACTTGGGTTTTAACATAGATCAGATTTCAAGTGGCAAACGTCCCCTTAAGCTGTCTCTCTGTTCTTGTAGAAATCCTGGTTTCTTTTGTTGGCTCTGAAAAAGCAATTTACTTTCTAGACCATTGTTGTTGGAGGCATAACAGAACTTTCTCATTTCATTCAGTTCTCTGCAGCCCAAGAGATGTCTTGCCCAAGACATCTTCTGATCTCATCAGATTCCTTCATCTTCTCATCAGATTCCTTATGAGGTAAGGCATATTCCATAGAAGTGATAAGGACCGTGTCAGCAACGAAGCCCTGTCTTAGACTGATCCCTCTAAAACTCCCCAAGGATTCAATGCATTTAACATCAGATCCTCAGCTATGCAAATAACAACAGGCTAATTCAGACTGGCTGAGACTGGGATCCAAAGAGGACTTCCAATTTCTGTGCCTTGCTTTTTCCTCAAAGAAGTGTGTCTGCTATATCAGTCTCTTCTCCAGGCACATGAATCACACTGTGCTTTGACTACAAATAGGACAGGCTGATTAATCCAAAGGTTTGATTAAGAAGAGAGGTGACATTTTAAATGGGGAAAAAAAATCCAAATATTGTAGATTTCTATTGCAGACTCTCATTTCTCTGCATGGAAGCATTTTTCATCTGATTGATTAAGTTTAAACCAAGTGATTTGTTTTAGAGCCAGGACTCTGTATGTATGTCTTCCTCTGCATGTCTTCCAACAGGTGGGAGTCTTTACGTTGAACCACATCACTCCTGGCTTCACATAGTTGTGTGAGATAAGTGTTTTTCACTACTTAGAGTGGTCACTGGCATCACTAGTCCCTATCTGTGCTTAGAAAGAATTTCCCGTTCAAAGCCACATTGTGCAAGAGAAGAAAGCAGAGCTCTCTGCTGCTTCCCAAGCTGGCTAATGCCTGTAAGAATGGGAAACAGCACCCAGGCCTCTGCTTTCTGTTTCTCCAGAAATTAAAATGTTCATTCATTTCTTGATCCCTCTTTGCTGAGGTGGAAGGACTCTCTGATGCCTTTCTTTTCTTTTAAAACCTGTATGCTCATGCTGTGTGGGAGATGCTGGTGTTTGTTTTTGCAGAAAAACAAGGTGGCCAGCTTTCAGAATGGTAAAGACACAGTGATGCTCCCCCTTGGCACTTAAGCCAAGCAGCAGGGTCTGCCACATCATAAGCATCAAAGCTGAGCAGCTCTTTGGGCTCTTTGGAGAAAGGGCATTTATCCTTTCATCTAGAGATTACAAGAATCTTTCACAGACCCCAGCAGTATGTTTTGAAATATTCTTTAAAGAGAGATACCTGTTTGTGCCATTACTGGCATTGAAAACAGCCTGCTTGCCTTCCAGCCTTCCAAGAAACATCCTCCACTAAACATTTAACCGTATGTACACAGAAAAAATGTCACCAGTGTTCATTCCCTAGTGATCAGGATTGTCCAGGTGTTATGCCAAGCATTGCACTGAAAAAGAGACTCTGCAAAAGTGCACTGAAATAAGTCATAACCTATCTGGGTCTGCTCCTTTTCCTTATTGCACCCAGCAAGGATTTGTGGAGAGTGGGTGGGGGGAAGGGAAAAAGATGTTCTTAACATCGAGAGGAAAAAGATGCTCTTAGCATCTAGAGAAAAGCAATGCAAAGATATGAAAGCTTTTTGTCTTGCTGTTTCCATTTTTTCAGGACTTTTTTTTTTTTTTTTCGGTCAGGGGCACAGGAAAGATTATAAAGCTGTAACCTCTAATCCGCTCCTGAATGTTCCTTCTCCATCTCTTCCTTTCTCCTCTCTTTCAGGCAATTCTAATCCTTTATGTCTCTTCTCTCGCAGGTAAGAGTTGGAGTCTAATCTCTAACGACAGGTTGGTAATTAGAGCAAAAGATTATCCTGACCCCATATCAAGAAGATAAAAAGGGAAAGGAATAATGCAGGGCTATAAAAGAGCAAGCCTTCAATATTCAGTGCAGGAACCATCTTCCTCTCTGCCTCTCTCCTCTTATCCCATCTCCCCACATCCTACATCCTCCCCTCTGCCCCATCAGAGCAAGTTTTCTGATTCTTTTTTTTCTTCCTGTCCATGGTCCCTGTGCTTTTCCAGACTATTTCAGCACAAAAATGGCCACATTCTTCTTCCATGTACAGTGGTCAGAATCGGACCCAGACTAAACAGACGTTCAGCCAAGGGAATGTGGCTGGGAACAGTTGGCAATGGGGGATGCACAGGCGGAGAAGAAGATGGCCTGCTCAGACAGGCTGGAGCAAGGACACGCTATCAGTGACACTCAGTCAAGTACGGGTACCCCTACTCAGGGCCTTTCTAGTGCAGAAAGGTGAATCCACAGCCCAGAGAAGCAGGCCCCCATCTCTATCCAGATGCTCAACCCTTGCTTTGTTTAAAAAGGTGTGCTACTCTTAGCCCTTGTAAGCATCCCAACAGAGAAGGAAAGCTATATGCATGTGCCCAGTCCATGTTATTAATCTTTGACACAGATCTCTCTTGTCTTGTGTCACTAGTACTCAGCAAAGACCCAAAAAAAAAAAAATCACACTGCCCCAAGGCCATCATCGCAAAAGAGAAGTTGGGAGCACCAAGCTTATTCTGTGTTCCACCCACTAAACGCCCAAGGTGAATGGAGATCAGCAGGAGACCGTTGCTGAGACTGAGGCATCACCAGTGAAGAGGTTGCAAGCACCAGGAGGTGTCCGGATAGAGGTGGCAGTGAAGTGATCGAAACCTGCTGGGGAGAGAGTGAAAGAAGGTCTGGTAACAGTTCTTACCACAGCGCCAAGCAGGACAGTTAAGGGCTTTGTCCCTCATATCTCGTCCTACATCAGCTGCTCACCTTGCACTGCAGTGTGCAAGGACTCACTGCACATCTCTACCAGATGTCTCATCTGGGCAAAGCTGAGCAGCCAGGCCTCAGTCTAGCACCTGGGTCCATCCCTGGCATATGTAGCCCAAGCCAGTGGTTCATGCTCATCACAAGCAATTAGAGAGGCAATGCAGCAACACATGCTGCATGGTTCCCTTAATGCTCTTTTCATTGCCTCAGTGCTTTCCGTCCCTGCCATCTCCAGCCAGCAACTTCCCACTAGTTCTCTGCACATAATAACTTCAGGTTTACTCGCTCAATGCAGAGAAGATAAATCAAAGAACATATTTGTTTGCAGTCAGCAAATCTTCTTTTTACTTCGGTTTTCTCAGAAAAAAAAATCCTGAGTTCAAAAAACATTTCAGTACCTATCCCATAGGGTAGAAGTTAGCTTGTTCAGCCTCAAAATGTGAAGTAAAACAGCTAAATACATAGCTTTGGAACTGTCCAAATAGAATGTTCTGATCGCCCTTTTTTCCCAGTCATCCAAAAATGCTTGCAAAGTTTATAAGCATTTGCAAGCAGCTTAAAGCTGTGCCTTTACTTTGTGAGCCATGTGACTGCAAGATTTCTGTCCACCGTTCTGGACTTCTTGCGTCCCATTTGGCTGCCTCCCACTCCCAGCCTCTTGGCTGATGGCTCAAACCATAGCAGTTCCCCGAGCACTCATGCCCCATACCTTGAGGGATCCTCCTGGGGTGAGAAGGGGCCACTGAGTTCAATAACATTGAGCTTGTTCTCAAAGACACCATAGCTGAGGGTGACCTGCAAAAAGGGGTGGGGAAGAGGGAGCAGGTATGGTGACATGATGAGTTTAGGCGCAAGGAACCTGCTATGTGCTACAGAAGCTCCCATCCTGTTCTTTTTCTGTTGACTTGGCCTCTACCTGTCTCTCTTTCGTCTCATGATGGTCCACCATGCCAGTCCTTTGTCCTCTCTAAGACCCCACACACCTTGTTATCTCCCGCAGTGAGGGAGACATGGTACAAAGCCTCTTTCCCAAGTACACAGCAGCTCTCCTTGTTCTGATGTCATGTTCCCCTAAGCACCATCCTCTCCGCAATTCTCCCTTCATTTCTCAAAAAACCACTCCCCACCACCAATCCAGGATGCACTGTGACTGGACACTGTGGTGATAGCAAAGTCTGCCCCTTCCTTCAGGGAATCCTTTTTAAGGAGGCCTGAGGAAAGAGGAGGCAATTGATTCAATCTGCATTAGTGCCCCCAACAGTGCCAAATGTCCCCTACTCCATCTCTCCTTCCTCACACACCTCTCTCTTGCTCTATCCCCCTGCTCACCTGCTGTGTGAGTTGAGTCGAGGGGATGAGTTGCAAGTTTTCCAGGTGAGAATGGAAAAGTGAATTGGACAACAGCTGCCCACCGACTTTGCACTCAATGATGTAACCCATGGTGCAGTCATCTGGCAAGCGAATGAGTTCTGAGGTGCTCAGGAAGTTCCTGCCACTGGAAGAGAGCATGGCTGTTTGGGTTAGGAAAGGATGGAGGGATATACAGGCATCCCTTTTGCCAGAGATATGTAAGGAACCACAGTAAATATTGGAAATATGCAATAAGGCCTTGAGTCCTATCTGCAAAGAAGTGGGGATGTGTTTGCTCTTCAACCACCCCCAACCATGTGGTCCCAGCAGTTGTCCAGTGCTGTGCCTGATACCTAATCCAAGTGCCCAGTCAGCTGATTCAGAGAGCTGACAGTTTTCCAGATTAGCTTTCTGCATGTTTCTGCATATTGGTGAGCTGCACGGATTCAGTGACGGTTCTGATGAGCTAGTACAAGGGAAGCAGTGGTACCACATGGCCGGAATGAGGAGAGTACAGCGAACAGGGAACAGTCAGTTTCAAAAAATCTGCTGGCTGCACTGTGATGTAATACCACACTCTTGGCCAAGGTTTAATGACATGATAAATACAGCATTAAAGCTCCTTCAACTGGAAACAGCCACATAGCACAAAGCAGTGTCTCCTGTAACACCCCTCAGGTAGTTCTAATATGTTCAGACCTTTCTAATACAGTAGAGACAGACTTTATGCCAGGTTAGTGTTGCAGATAGTTAGGGAACGGCGGCCGGAAGATATCGTGCTGTACGGAAAGATAGGGCCCCTAATAGCCAATAGTGTTTAGTCTATGGTGTAAGCAGACGGATGTGACGTTGTAAACCTAGCTATATAACACCTTGTTACCCATCAGTAAAGGCCATTTTGCCGTCCACCACATTGGTGTCAACTAGCTGATGGCCCGAGTGGCTTGGGGGTGGTCGCCGTGCCGTCCCTGAACCAGGTCGCTGCAGCCGTTTGAACTGCAACAGGTTAGGAATTATCTATTCATGCCACTTTAATTTTATCCTGGATCAGAGACCATCTTCCTGTCTGGGCCTAGCATAGACTGTATATCATGGGCTTCAGCTAAACCAATGCAAGCAGGATGATGAGCCACCTGGTCTGGATCAGATCTGTCTTTCTGGGTATGCACAGATCCAATTAAGGGTGGAATAGCCATTGCCTATGGGTGTATGCGCTTCTGGCCTATGTGATATGACCTAGACATCCTAGAAAACATCAATAATTGTAGGCTGGGCTATCAGAAGATAACAGGCTTATTTCTGTTCTCCATGCACAATGGAGCACTGTCTCCAAGACAGTAGAGACTGGAATAAACTGCCAAGATTTTGGGATGGGGGAATTGGGAAACCAGCTGAAGAGGGAGAAAGGGGAGGGTATGGTTCAAGGAAGCACAATAAGAGGAAAGGAAATAGGCAGATAGGGAAAGTACTTAGTAAACAGTTAGGGGGCTGAAAGAAATGGGAAGGATTGTGGGGGCATAACCAAAGCTGAGAGGAGTTGAGGAAGAGGCAGTATGTGATCTTGTCATCATGTTTGCTAACATGCCTTCTCTTGCCTGCTTTTAATAAGGTCACAGACCTACCCAGTACATCATTCCTCAGGTCCCACATGCTTGTAGATGTGCAGCACGTGGCACTCTTACACTTCCAAATACCACATACACAACTCCAGGTCTTGCTGACAGAAATTTTTGTGCATCCATGTTCCTTTTCCCCAGGGGTTCACATACCCCCAAAAGTATGGCTCACCTGGCCCAAGGCACCATCTTGCTCGCCAACTTGCGACTGATGCAGAACCCAGCCCCTCCTGTGGCAAACCAGAAACGCACAGATTTCTGGAAAGAAACAGCAGACATCCTCAATGGCAGTGGCTTAAACAATACCATACTCCCTGAGATGGAAATGCTAGAAAAAAAGCTTTGATGCAGAGATAAACAGAATCCTATTGTCATCCTCCTAACTGCTGCCCGGAATGAGGTCTTGCTGGTAGTATAACACAGATTTTGACTTTCTAACATGACTGGGAAGCCAGGATAACCAGGCCTGCTAATACAGCACTGCAGTTCCCCTCTCAGCCAAAGGCAAAAAGAGTAAGCAAAGGTGGGCCGCTGGCCAAATAATGTCGCTTGTGCTAAAGGCTAATTGGATATCCAGGCTTAACTGTGCCAACTTGCAAAAGCAGAGGCAGCCAAGTCCCTGGTGGCAGCACCAGGTGGGCCACCCAGTGCAGACTTGTCCCCTTGCAGATGAGTACCCAAAGGCACAGCAGCAGCATGGGCTATCATTTGCCATCCTCTGTGTGGGTACCATCAATGTTTTGATATTCAGACAAGACCAGCAAGTTTTCAGCTGGTGCCTGTGGCTCTTTGGACCTTCATCATAGTTCAGCTACAGTCAATGAACCAAAGCATTAAAAAAATCCCCTCCCTCTCCGTCACAAGCCATAGGCCATACCGTCTTGTTGTTAGGCAGCGTTTCAGAGGCATGAATGGGTCGGTTCAGGCTGGGTTTCCCTAGGTAGACATCCCACGTTGCAGAGTAGGTAGACAAGAGTTTCAGAAGGGCCTGAGTGTTCAAATAGTTGTCATCATCCAAGTGGCAAAACCAGCTGGAAGGAGATGGCAATGAAGACACAAGAGGGTTTCAATAAACAGGGTGCCACTTTCTCTTACATTCTGACTGACTTGCCTTCAAAATGCCTGGGATTACACACATGCTCAGTGCCTGACTTCCTCATTTCCTATGGGAACAGGTCCCCAACAGGGGTAAAATGTCATCCTCCCTCCCCACCCGGCCTCATGCTGATACTTTTCCTCAGCAAATGGTTGCCTGCCAAGTAGCCTTCCTCATGGAGCTCATGTCCACATAGACTCACAGCCATGCCACCCCAGCAGCTCATGGCAGCCCCGGCTCACCTCTGGCTGCTGGCCAGAAATGCATCAAACTCTGCAGCCATCTTGCAGGAGAGGGCAAGGTGGCTATGCTCAGCAGAGCAGTTGGTGAACACCACATGGTCACCTGCAAGGAGAGAGAAGGCTATCACTCAGGCTTGACCCACTTCATGTGGTCCTGTAGAGAAAAAAAAACATTCAGCGGGAGGGAAGGGGAGTTTGTTCAAGGCCAGTCTCCTCACAGACCCCTGAATAAGCATCCAGGCACACTATCATGTGAGTTCCTTCTGCACATTCAGCTCTTCACTTCACAAACCCCAGGCTGTTCACTCCATGCAAGTCCTACTCTGAAGATTACACCTTGCTCTTTTGCTTGTTCTTTGCTTGTTCATTGCTACACTCCAGCCCATGATTTGCACAGTGGTGAAGAGTCTAATCTTCAGTTTATCAGTCTACTTTTTTCCACTACCATCACTGTACCTCGTAAAGACATGAGCCTTCTCTTCTCTAGGAGCTGATACCAAGAGAAAGTGAAGCATCTTGCCCAAGGCTGCAACCTGGCTTTGCCAAACTGCCTGTCCAACATACTTCTACCTCGAGCACTGCTAGAGAGGATATAGGGACTGTAGGATTTTCTCCAAGGCTGCTTGTACAGAGTGACTTTTGCCTGTGGACATTTTAAGGCAGATGGTCTCCTACCTTGAGTCAGGCATGTGCCCTGAGGGAGCCAAACCACAGAAAATCATTACTGCTCAAGCTGGTGGGCCCTCCCATGGGATGTGGCAAAGCAGCTCTCTCCATCATGCAGAGCTGGCATGACAGAGACAGCCTTCATGAAGGACCCCCTCCATAGGTCATGAAAGTTAAAAGGCTGAAGGTAAGAAGAAGGACATGATGTAATAGGAAAGGTTATTACCCATTCTCCTTTTCAGGGCTTCATCTTCTTCATCAGTGAAGACATATGTCTGGGGAAGTGAGAGAAGGAGGTTACTCTGAGGCCAGGAGCTGGAGCTGTTCCTGGATGCTCATCCACACTTCTCCTCAGCCAGACACTCCACACATGCATGCTGTGATAGCCCCTTTCCCATCCCCACACCAACTCCTGATGCCAAGCTCTCTTCCAGGTGCTGGACAGCAGTCGGATGCCCCATTCCGGCCAAAAGATGGCTGGCTGCCTCACTGTGCTGGCCCTCTTCTCACTTTCACAGTTAATTAATCCTCTTAGAGCCACATGCTCTGCTCGCAGGATGTGCAAGCAGACCCCCACAATGTCCCTATTGCCCTCCCATTGCTTCAAGCTGCTTCAAGTGGAGCTCATCTAGGTCATGAGTGAAGGGCAGACACAAGGCAGCTTGGTCGCCCCTTCAGCGTTTGTCAGGGCTCTCCCACTAAAGGCACTGGGGGTGTGCTGGTCAGCCCTGGGTGAGACAGCAGGGAGAGAAGCTTTACTTGCTCCTGGACAGGCCCAAAAGTTGATCCAGCACACAAGCGCCTGCCATGAGGAGAAGGCCAGGGCCTCCTTTGTCACAGCAAACTAACCCGCTGCCCTGAGGCAGCACCACCTGTGCTTGTGTCACTTTGTTTTTCCTGGAGGTCTGATGCCTTGGGACAAGGCGACCTGTAACACTGGAAGGGGGTGTGAAGGAGACCGGCTTTGGTTGTGGTTGTAGAAAAATGAAAGCATTGTGGTCAGAGGCAGCTCGGGTTAAAAGGAGAACATCTGTTTGTGTGTTAAGTGTGTACAGCCCCCTGTTGCTTCCCTGCCACCTCCTTTTCCTCAGCCCTCCAGGCCCCTCTAATCCCTCTTACTGCCATTATGTGGCAGATCTCCCCCTGCTCAGGGCCAGGCAGGGATCAGAGCTGAGGGAGAAAAGCTCCCCTCAGGCAGAAAATGAGCTTTTACAAAATCAAAAAGGAGTCACAAGCCTTAAACTGCCTCTTCACCAGCTGCCCACAGGCTGGTTAAACACAGCACCTGGGCAGGGACAAAAGAGAAGAGGCAGACAGATGACAGCTCGCAGGAGCTGTCATTGTGCCAGAAGGCTCTGACAAAGAGACAAGTCCTTCCCTCCTCATCTCCGGACATCTATCTGGAGCATTCAGGTTGACAGATGTGCTCTCATCAGGAAGGTGCCAGAAAATAAACTCTCCAAACACAAAAGGAAGGTAATGAAGGACCACCAGAGACCACCTAGCTCCGAAAGGCATGGCAGCACCAGAATTAAGAGGATGCCAAACGCCTGATTTGCAGTGATTTGGTGAACTACCCTCCAGCAGCTGAATGGCAATAACTGACTGCGCGTGCCTCCCTACCCCACTCCAGATCTTTTATTTTAAGCCACTTTCAAGGTGATCACGAGAAAGGAAGCAATTAGCTAAGTCTCAGGTAAAGCAGTCATTCTGGATCATGTGACTATAACTTAATGTTCAGGCAAGGTAGGAATTCTCAGCGACATGTGATTTTCCTTGAGAGTATATCAAAGACAGAAAGTTCTGCTATGAAAAAATATTTCATCTAAAGAAAAAAAATCTGAAACTATTGAAATATTCTGACACTAAAAAAAAACAATGAAATAGTGCTGCTTGAAATGACTTGCTTAAAAATATAACACCAAGTAGAAAATATGTACATAATATCAACATATTTGAATTGATCTGAAGTAGTAACATTTCTCTTTTCTCAGATTTTCTATTTGTGAAAATCTTTGGAGTTTCCCACTTTCTTCTTGATGTGAGATGGAAAACGGTTTTTTGGGGAGACACCTTACATGTTTCTGCAGAAAATCAAGGATGGAGGAGCATTGTCACCATGAGGAACACCAGAATCTCCAAAAGAAATGTAGAGGAAGGCATGTGCCGAGGCGGAGGCAAATCTACCTTCTCCATCTCCCCTGAACCCTCATTTCCCAGCCTTACACCTGGCTACACTACTCCAGAAGTGCAGGAATGAGTCCCTGCCTCTGTCCTAAAGGAGAGTGCAACAGCACAGACATCTGCATGTGTCCTCTTTTCTCCATCCCTTGTGCTTCTGAGAGCAGAGAACCGGGAACAAAGCTGCTGCCAGCATCCAAGCCACTGTCACGGTACCCCCCATCAAAGCCACGCAGGATGGATGGGATGGGAGAGCAAGAGGAGGGGTCCTACAAAAAATCTGTAAGAGATTCAGAAGGTCGCTCTGTGCACACAGACTTACTGTCCCTGCTGGGGGCATGAGTGCAGGGGTGTCTCTGCAGGCAAGTGGGGTGGATAGAATCAGCCTCCCCATCATGTGCTCTGTTCAGTGCTTCACCAGACTCTCGGTGGGTCCATGCGTGGTCTCCCACAGCACCTCTCATCATGGTGCTTCAGTGCTCAGGGCTACCTGCAAGCTCATTTCGGCAGATTGCTCATGGTGTAGCCATTCAGCCACAGCTCCACGCTCCCTTCCTGCCTAGTATCCCCCAGGACAATTCCTCCTGCCTCTGCAGAGGAGAATCACAGGGCCCAGCTCTCCCATGTGCATGGAGCTGGCCAGGACAGGCATAACTTTTGCTTCAGGGAGCTGATTCAAGCCTGAGGAGTGGTGCCAAGTGGAAGGCATCCCCCAGTCTGGAAGAGATGAGCTGAGGCAGCTGAGTTGGAGGGAACGCCTGACAGATGGCCAGTGATACCACAAACCTGAAGCCACTGGTGTCACACAGCCTTGCCTGGCAGCTCTCTATGAACAGAAGTGCCCATGTAATGCTAAACACTGGGCTTTGAGGCCTGCTCAGCCTAATTTAGGAGTATAGCCTAACAAAGAAAAATTAGGAAAAGGAAATAAATATGTGGAATCTGGCAGCCCAGGGCCACATGCATCTCCCAAGATCCCAGGATATCCCTTCTCCAGGCAGAAACAGCCTTCAAAATGCAATCACATCAGCAGATTTGAAGTACAGCTGGGCAGGAAACTGTTCCCCTGCCTGGAAACATGTTTAACATTCGAAATCTCCACTGTGTTTACAGCCCTGAAAATGCAAAAAAAAAAAAAAAAAAAAAAAAAAAAAGGGTGCTTCAAAGGCTTCAAAGGTTTCATTTCAATCAGTTGCATGTTCGGGTTTCTAAAAGGAGAGGGATTCTAAAATGCCATTTCCGACCAGAAATTTAGACCTTTTTGTCTCAAAATTACAGGGCTAAGAATCATAGAATCATAGATTGGTTGAGGTTGGAAGGGACCTCTAGAGATCATCTAGTCCAACCCCTCTGCTCCAGTGGGGACACCTAGAGCACGTGGCACAGAGTGGCATCCAGGCAGGTTTTGAAGATCTCCAGAGAAGGAGACTCCACAACCTCTCTGGGCAGCCTGTTCCAGGGCTCTATCACTCTAAAGAAGTTCTTCATATAGAGATGGAACTTCTGTGACAAAAAGCTTTTCAGCAGAGCAGTCATCAAAACCAATACTTACATTTATATGAAGCCTTTCCTAGTGAAAAGTCCAGGATATTGAAATATCCTCCTTATCAAGGTTCAGTGGAAAGTTTCTCATGGAGTAGTCCTCAAGAAACAGAGTATAGTCCAGCATCTAGTGAAAAGCACCCATCCATATTTCCCTGTCCCTGTTCCTATCTCTCTCTCACAGTATACCTGACTGAGTCCAATATGTAGGACTCTTAATTGAACCCCTGGGCTCTATTCTGACTGTAAAGATCCCAGCTGGTCCTGCCCCCTGTTATAGCCACCTACGCCTGGCTTTTGAGGTCCAGGTTTCTTCCTCTGGGAGGACACTATGCAGATTCCAGCATCAGATACACAGCCAGATGCTAAAACGTCCCATCTGGCCACCTGCATAGAAGGCTCCACTGGATCAACAGCCGAGATAACAAGATTTTTTTTTTTTTAAGAGTTTCCATCTTGATTTTTCAAAATTTAAAACTTTCCCACCTTCAAAAAAAAAACCCTCTGGCAGTTTATTACAACAAAAAATGAAGGCTTTTATCTCTCATCTACCTCTCATTACCCATTCCTGGTCCTACGCTGAAGGCCATATAGAAAAGGAAAAAAAAAGACAGAAAAAGAAATCAAGAAAACTTGAAAGTGAAAAAAGAGGAAAATACTGAATTTTCAGTAAAATTTGATATGAATGAAATAGCTGTATTTAAAAATGACTAATTCTCCTGTTTTATGCTCCCCTTCCAATTTTCCTGCTCAGACTGTGAATCTTTCCTACACAAAGTTTGTCTGCCATATATCCCACACACACTGGGTCAGATGAGTTTGGGGAACTGCTAATTCTTGTCATTAGCAGGATAGCCAGATGTATGTTTGTCAAATGCATTAGGGAAAGGTGAACTGCCTCTTGCAACCCACTCCAAGTAGCCCAGTCTCAATATCTTAGTGCCAATGCTCAGCCTATCCCAAAGTACAGCTACACAGTGGAGTTTAGTTTCTCCAGAGCCATCGGGCTGAGGGCAGGCAAAAGCAGACACGAGAAGTGCATCTTGAGGAGGAAGTAGGGTACCTCAGATCCTAACATGATCACACATACAGAAGTAGAAGCGTGCTCAAAATAGGACACAACTTCCTGCAGCAACCACAGCAGACCAAACAGTTGCAGCACCATTAAGTGGAAAACCACCCTTACCCAGAAAACCCTGCATAACTTCACTCTTCAACCCCATACTTCCTCCCCCATCTCCCATCCTTACTGAGGCCTTAATTTATCTATTAGCCACATGTTACACACAGGCAGAAACAACAAAACCTTTTGGGACAGCCACAGGATTTCTTTTTCTTTCTTGAAGAGCAGCTCTGCAAAGGAGTGGAGGCAAGGAAGAGAAGTACCATTTCCTCTGAGGTCCTGAGGTTAGGATTAGGCCCTGATGGAAAAGCGGAGTTTCTAGCCCAGACCTCTGATCCCTAGCCAGCTGGGCTGCTAGGGAGCCTGGAGCCTGCATCAGCGCACAGACATGAAAGCCCTTCTTAAGTGCAAGGAAGCAGAGCCCAGGCAACAGGGGACACTTCTGCCAGCCTGCGCAACACCACCAGTCACGTATACACATGCCCTACACCAGTTTTCTAGCAGAAAGCAGAACTTTCCAACCTCTCCTTAGCAAAGGGAGAAAACATCAGGGCTCAGTTTAAAAAAAAATTCAGGTGTATGCACACATCATTTCAAGACAGTGCACAAAAGGTGCTCTGCCGAGAAACCAAGGGATTGATTATGCTGCTATGCACAGGAGTTAATAAGGCTGCAAACCCCTCTCCTGCACGCCCATTCCGTTCGGTGACTTCCCCTCACGCCCACGTCCTGCAGCCTCCGCTCTCCTATGTGCTGCACTACACCACTCCGGGGCAAACTGTGCCCAGGCGCAACGCAAGCATCATGGTCTATGTCTGCGGAGAGCCACTCATCTTGAAACCTTACAAACGCATGTTTCTTGGAAGCAGACAGCCACCATTTCACACAGAGGCAGACAGGTCTGTGCTATCACATTGGTATGGCCCAGGCAATGCCTTCTGCTGGTCCTTCTCTTGAATCAGTGGTGAGTAGCATCCACCTTTCAATGTGAACAAAAGTGAAAGTTGGGGGAAAGAAAGTACTTGAGGGATCAGCAATGTCCACTCTCCACTTCCTTTGGCCTTTACCCTTCCCCACAGACATCCTGTCTTTGTTCTGTACCAAATATCCCCCCACTTGTCCAGATCCACACACTCACTTGTTCACTTGCCCGGGATATCCATGTGTCCAGGAGCAGCTCCATCCTGTTCCGGTGAAATCTCCTGGTTGTCTTCACAGCTATGAAAATGTCCTCAAGCTTTGGGCTTCCCCCAGTCCCATATTCACCCTGAGGATAGGCTTGCAAGTCCTGCCTCCTGCCACCACCTCCCGTGACATCCTGTGGGCTCACTTTGGCCCGTTGCTCTGAATTCTCTGATGTCCTTTCTCCGAGTCCAAGGTACCGGGCTGTTTCTTGAGCCCCATGGTGCCTTACAGAAAGCAGAGCCATGCTGACAAGCAAAACAGTGGCTCCAGACAGACCACGGATGAGCCGGCGGCCCATGGCTCCTGAACTATTCCGGCTTTAGATGGAAGCCTATCAGACAAGGACAATTTCTGCCTCTGCCTCCATGTGAATCCATCCACTCTTATTTAAGCCGCTGACAGAGCAAGACAAGCTCAGAGTGAAGTCCATATTCGATGCAGCCATGGAATGGGACAGGTTTGGATCAAAAAGTGAAAAAAAAAAAATCACGGAGATGCAAGGACCAAGCCAAAGAGACAACAGCCCTTGAGGATAGAGGTGGAGGTGGGGATCTCTACAGACCAAGGAGACTTGATTACCCAACGAGGCAGGGACAGGAAACAGGCAAATAATCCAAGGCAACAGCCAGGCAGCTGGCATAGCCTGCCATGTGGGAAGCGAGCATTCCCAATCCTGCTGGAGATGCAGAGAGTCCCACTCTAGGAGTAGAAAGCAGAAGTAAAAGAGACTGGCGCCATCAGCAAGAAGTCTGGACCGAAGTCACCCGGTCCCCAGCAGCCGCCAGCTGATGCATCCCCGCCGGGGCTGGAGGCAAACGTGTGGAGCGGGCGGCAGGGCCGCAGGGCCGGGACCAGGCGCCACGCGATGCGCGGCGCTGCCTCCCACCTGCTCCCTCGGTGCCGCTTGCCCTTGCTGGCTGCCAGCCCCGGCCCCGGTCCCGCCTCCGGGCATGGGGCGGAGCGCCCGCCCCTGGGGAGGAAGAGGATGGAGAGAGGGAGATGGACGAAGAAGGGGGGTGCCTCTGAGTCCGAAAGTGGGCTGGTTGCATCTGCAGTGCTAGGGCAGCCATCCCCAGGCAGGGAGCCCTGCGGTGTGACAAGGAGGCTGATCTGCAAAGACCTGTTGCACAGTTGTGGCTCAGTCTATGGGTGCAAGAGGGGTTTCCTGCCTTGCAGGGGAGGCAGGACGTGGGTGCAAACCCTGCGCAGCCCTTTTGTTGGTACATAGAAAAGAGAGGGTGGAGCTGGATGCAGGCTGAGGGGTAGAGGGAGCAAAGCAAGCTAAGTTAAGCGTGGGGTCCTAAATTGTTCTTTAGAAGGTGTATCCATGCATGCCTCCCATCTTTTCTCATCGGCACTGCTCTGAATTACTTCCCCTGCCCTTTTATCCTACCCTCCCTCCCCAGATCAGGGCTACTTATCCCCTGCTACTCTCTCTACACATAACCCAGAGTTTCAGACGAGGATCTCTCCCCTGCTTTTGAAATGGCCAAACATGACCGCAACGCTGTCACCTTCTTTGCCTCTGGTCACCCACCTCCCACACCTCACCCCTCACACACACACATAGGGCATCTGGCTCTAGCCCGAGGGCAGTGACACTCACAGCAATGGGCACAGGGGCACCTGGAAAAGAGAGGGGAGTCCAGGTACCTCCCTTTAAGTGTCTGTATTGCAGGAGAGTCCTGTATCCTGCTGGGTTATCTCCCACCCAGGTCCTCACCCCCTCTTAGCTTTTGCAAGCACTGGGAAGGCTGATTTCTTCCAGGCCCTTTTCACTCAACTGGCCAACCCTGGCTTTGCTTCTACCACCTCGCTGGAGACCCTGACCCACTGTGTGGACAGGGAAGCAGGGCTGTCCGGGAGCAAAGGGGAGGAGGGAGGAGAGCTCGGCGGCTGCTTTGACTGTCAGGCTGTGTCAGACAGGGCAGGCACTGGGGAAGGGGCCCTGACTTAGGGGCCAGGGATAAATCTGTAGTGGAAACTTAAGGCCACGCCATTGCATATCCCAGAAAGGAGCAGCTTGCCAGCATTATGCATGCCATTCCTTATGCAGAGGATTAAATACAGTGGGATTTCCTAGGACCACCCTCAACACAGAAGCAGACACCACTCATCTGCACACAATGGGCTCAAGAGAAACAGAAGGCACTTCACAGGAGTGGAAAACTCTTTGCAACTCTGGCCTCCCTGGAATCCATGCGCTCAGGCTCTGGGTTTGCCATGTACATTTTCTCTGACACAACAATCCAAGGGCCATGCCCAAACCATGCTACAAGGTGGTGCTCTGAGCCTCCCATTGCCCTCCAGCAGGGTTCAGCTCAGACCAGCCCTTTTTGGCTCTTGTGCATTCCAAGATGTTCTCTCTTTTTCCTGGGTCAGTTTGGTCTCCTCTACCCTTGTTGAGTCCCACAGGCAGGGCAAGAAACTGGCACAGCCATCTTTTTCCTCCACCTTTCCTAGGTGATTGCTTCAGGTTACCTTTAGGGCCCTTCAGGGAGCAGTCAGGGGGTACAGAGAGATTGCCCGGCTGGAATGACATGCACACCCCCATCCCTGCTTCAGTGTTGAAGCACATGCGAGGACAGCAAGATAAGAGTGCTCTACATAAGCTGCTGAAATCAGAGCGCATCCTTAGGGAACTTCTAGCTGTGGGTATCAAATCTAAGCATACCATTAGTAATAATAATAATAATAGTAATAATAATAATAATAATATGGAGACTGGGAAGGACTGGGGAAGCGGGGGCATGGCTCCCAGAATATACCATAGGACAAAGGCCCTCCCGTCTCTCTGCTGTTCACTGCATGCACATGGGGACTTAGAAAACAGTGCCAGGGCAAGGACCAGGGTCCCTCTGTTCCACACTCCAGCTGTGTTTCTGAAAACAGACATGTTATGGGAGAACAGGGACAATCTCCTTCTGGAACTGAAGACAGGTGCTCAGCTTCCCTAGGCCTCATACAAACACTTTCAGCCCTGTCCTTGGCTCCAACTTTCTCTTTTTTAAGGAAAAATCCACTGAATACTTTTCTTTTTCTCCCTGCCACGCGCTTTCTAAGTTTCCAAGGCTCCCAGCCTTTCCCTGAAGCAAGAACATCTTTGGAGCCTCTTCCTTGTCCCTTTGTGGGGTCCCTGCAGATTTTATTTTTAGATTCCTTTGAATAGCAATACTTTCTTACATTGCTGGGGGAAGGGAGGAAGTATGTCATTCACCTTCCAGCCTTACATTATTGTGGGGATGTGAAACTAGCATGACTGCTTGACTGGCTCTGTGCTAAATACTGTAATTGCTGCTGTGGCTGGTCACTGCTTCTCAACAAGGATTTAACCTTTCTGAGCACTTTGGCCCCATGCCCTGCAGCCTCAAGCAGCTTCCATAGCTCCCAGGCATCCTGCAGCGTCTCCCAGCCCTGGTTAAGGATGCCATTTGGGAGAGGAAGGGGGACACAGGCAGAAGAGAGAAGAGACCTTTGGGAGCTGCAACAATAATTCAAATTCAAATAGAGCAGGGTATTAGTCAGGGGTCTGGGTCAGACCCAACTATGTACACACCGAAGCGTGTCTGAAGCTAAGAGTGCAGCCTCCCTCTTTCTTCCCTCTTTCTCTGCAGCCCCAGGTTGCGGGAGCATTTGCCGCTGTCCTGATGGAAACAGCACTGTGCTCACCTCCCCTATAGCCACGAGCCTGCTCTGCTGGAGCTGCTTCTGGGGGGCAGAAACCCTTTGGTGCCCAGCCCTGCCTTGCGGAGGGGTTGACGCACATCCTGCCGGCAGGACGCAGGGGAGAGGGACCCCACAGCTATGCCAGGAGCTGGGGCAGTCACCGTGGAAAACACCAGCAACTTCCCGCAGCGACGCACGCATGCCACCTTGCTGGTCCCCTCCCTGGAGGGGGAAAATTTGCTCTCAATGACTCTTTACAGGGGCTTGTACAAGGCTGTTACAGCTGGTAATTGGTGCCCAGGGCTGCTAATTGCATTCTGCCTGTTACCTAACCCGTGACTCATTCCTCCGAGCAGGCAGTCAACCCCCGGGGATACAAATAAGATGGGCTGGGGTGTACAGGGCAAGGTGGGGGAGTTGTCAGTGTTTGCCACAGAGCCCCCTGCCCCATTTCTCACCCCATGTCCTGAACTGGCTGAAGCGGCATTTCCAGAGGTCTCTGGGGTGGGCAACAGGGATAATAAGCAGGGCTGGAAGGAGGCTGGGGGCGGGCCAGGCAGCGTTGCCTCACGGTTAGAGAAATGGGAAATGTATCCCCCGCAATGGGCTGCTCCCCATCTCAACCTTTCTTTGCCTCTGTTTCCCTTCTGGTGCCAAAGCTGATGGCCCAGGGAAGTGCTTGGGGATGGCTGCTGTAGAGGGCTCCAGCAGTCCTCAAGCAGGTGCCAACCCTCTGGCACAGGGGACACAGCCAGTCTACCCAGAAGGGGAGGTTGCCATTTAATAACACCCAGCCTGGCCCAAAAGGAACCTCTGAGGCCCGGAAGGTATCACATAGAGCTGCCTAGCTTTGAATCAGTGTGCCTCACAGAGAGTGTTTTCCTTTAGTACTTGTGCGCTGCCTTTTTTTTTTTTTTTTTCTCCTGAAAAGATGCATGGAAATCTAATCTCTTTATCCTTCATCCCCTGCAAATCCATGCCCTGGTGGAGGGGAGTTTGCCTGGGGACTTGTCTTCTCTTCTGATCAACAAGAGTTCTGCTTTGTTTGCCTGGAGGGCAACAACCCTCCCACAGAGCTGACGGTGCTGGGATGCCGGGGCTGCGTCCTCCAGGGTGGATGTCATCCGGGAGCTTCCATCGGGAGCTGCGTGTTGCACCAGTCCCCCCTTCCAGGAGCATAGCTGCATTGCTCCAGGGCAGCTCTGGGACATTGCTCTACACCTGAGTGACTCTAGGTTAAATTCTTTTTTTTTTCTTCCCTCCCCCCACTCCCATCCTCATAAAAAACAGCAACTGGTTTACAGCCTGAAATAACACCTCACAGGGGACCCATGAAGATCAGCAAGTTAATCGTTGCTCAGAGCTTCAGAAGTACATGGTGCTAGCAGTGTCCCAATCACAGAGGCAAGGAGGACACAGAGAAGACTTGCCTCTCCAGCACAGGTAGCCCATCTTTTCCCATTACACGAGGAACGATAGGCTCAGCCTCCAGTGTCCTGCCCCATGGGGCCTCCCAGAGCCATTGCCCCTGCTATCCGTCTTTCATAGGAAAGACAATTTCCTCAAGACCAACCACCACCTCTCCCTAGCAGGGGTATTCTGGCACCCCTTTTCCATAGGGCAGTTGGTAAGGAGACAGGAGCATGCTGCAGCAGGCGAGCACGCTGCTCTCCCAAACCCTCC